GCAGAGCCAGAGCAGCCGCCGGGTGTCCTGCAGCTGCTGGAGGAGCTCAAGTCCCCACGGCCACCCGGTGCCCCCGCGCCTGCCCCAGCCATCCCTGGCTCCAGGGACTCCGTCTTCAGCAGCACCTTCCCCCCGGAGCCTGAGGAGCCCGAGGCCGACCAGCACCAGCACTTTGCCTACCAGCACACCAGCTACTCCTCGGCCACCTGTGCGTAGGCACTGGGTGGGCAACAGCTGGGTGGGCAGCAGGGGACCTGAGGTGGGAGGTGGGTGGGGGATCCCTCTCCTTCCCCCAGCCCCACAGCCCTTTCCCAGGCAATCAGCCAGGGAGGGGACTTGCTCTGGTTCATGCCAGCGCTCCTCCACAGCTGACTGTGAGACAGATGGATACCTGAGCTCCTCCGGCTTCCTGGACTCCCCAGACCTGGCCCACCGCAGTTTTGTGGCTGGGGACCCTGCCAGCCCTCCTCCCACCCGGCCCGTGCGCTGCTTCCCCACGGTGAGTGCGGCCCTGTGGGTGGGTGGGGTCGGGGTGGCTGTGGCACCGTCTCACCCTGTCCTCTCCCCCCAGAGCATCGCGGTGCAGCTGCCCACAGAGCGCTTGCCCCCCGCTAGCGGCTTCTCCTCCCCGGTGGACAGGTGAGGCTGGGGGGCTGGGTGAGGGCTGGATGGGGAGTGTGGCACCTGGGAATGGCCACGCTGATGCTCCAGTGCTGGGGCTTCTTGCAGCTACACCTCAGATGTGGCATCGGGCATGAGCGATGGCTGCGAGGGGCTCTCGGCCAGTGAGCAGAGCACAAAGCTGCCGCCCAAGCGAGCCTCGGGGAAGCTGCTGCGGCGCCGAGCCCGGTCCAGGCTGCGCATAACCAACGTGAGTGCCACGGGTGCCAGGCGGGCACCAGGCAGGCGCTCTCAGACTGAGCCAGCTCTGCCACCCACAGATCTCCGACAAGAGTGACCGGGTGGTGGAGTGCCAGCTGCAGACCTACAACAACAAAATGGTGACCTTCAAGTTTGACCTGGATGGGGACAACCCGGAGGAAATCGCAGCTGTCATGGTGAGTGCGGGGTGAGGGCGAGGATCTGCCCGGCTGTGCTAGGTGCTGACCAGCCCCTCTGCCCCCAGGTCCACAACGAGTTCATCCTCAAGTCAGAGCGGGATGGTTTCATCAACCGCATCCGGGACATCATCCACCGCGTGGAGACCCTGCTCCGCAAGGACGGGCGCAGCGGCGCCGAGCTGCCCAGGAGCCCGGAGGCTGAGGGTGGCGTGGGCAGCCCCGTGAGTGCCAGCCCGACCCTGCCAGTGCTGGCAAAGCTGCTGATGCTGAGCGTGCCTGGGGGTGCTGCCTGGTCCCAGAGAGCCCGGGGGGAAGGGGGCTAGGGTACAGGGTCCTCCTGTGGTCACTTGCCCACTGCTGTGACAAGTGGTGGTGGTCCCTTGCCTGGCACAGCCTCCAGCTCCTGTCTCCGCAGGTAGTGGGGCCAGGGTGGGGCTTAGCACAGCTCGGCCAGGGCCTCTGCCCCAGTGTTGGGCTTAGCTCATCCTCCTTGCAGGTGGACCTGCAGCTGCAGGGGCTCTCGCGCTCCATCTCCTCCTCATCCTCGCTCAGTGGTATGTCTGTGCCCCTGAGTGGGCTCTTCTTGTCCCCTCCAAGCCCCATGCAGGGTGGGGGACAGCTTCAGCCAAGCCTGGGGGGGTCTCATGGGGCATGTCCTGCCCTGGCTGAGCCTGGTTGTCACCCCTGTGCTGCAGATCTGAGCTGCACCAGTCCCAGACTCTCTGTGCAGTCCCCCATCCCGCCATCACTGAGCCGCTCCCCGTCAGAGACTGACCTGGCCAGCCCCGCAGAGGCACCAGCAGCCCCGGCACCGCTGGAGGCCCCCGCAGGTACTGGCACTGGCAGGGCTGGGCGTGTCCATCGCACTGGGGCCGCTGGATCAAGGCTCTGGGGTGCCTGGGTGGGGAGGGAAGGAGGGGGCACTCGGGAGCCACTCCTGATGCTCCTCTCTCTGCAGGCTCCGTGCAGACCTGGCCACTCATCTCAATGGCTCCCTCCTGGCTCACGTCGTCACCGGTGTTCCCACAGACCCCCACAAGGACCCCAGAGGGGCCTGTCCCACCAGCCCTGCCCCAAGCACTCCTATCCCCACAGCCTCTCCCCACGTCCCCTGTCTCCTCTGAGCTCAGCAGCCCCCTGAGCCCGCCTGTGACCAGCACATCCTGGTCCCCCACCACCCCCCTCCTGACCCTGGCCAACGTCTTCTCCTTGGCAGTGATGAGCGTGGCCCAAACGCTGCTGCCCACTGTCTCCCCTATCGCCAGCTCGGGTGGGCACCTCTACCCTCCACTGCTGCCACGGCCAGAGAGTCTTGTCCTGGGGGCCCCACGCTTTGTCTACCCTGACCCCACCAGCACAGTCAAGCCAGTCCCGGCTGGCAGTGGGATCCTGGAGTCAGCAGGGGCTGATGTCCCCACTGCCGGGGGGCCCATATCCTTCCCACCCCCAGCACCAGCCCCAATGTACCCCATAGACAGTGAGGCTGTGGGTAGTCCCCTGCCACCGCTGAGCTCGTCCACACCAGGGAGCCCAGAGGGCAGCACGGTGAGTATGGGGGTGCAAAGGCTCCTCAAGGATGCCTGAGGTGAAGCTCAGTGCCAGGGGGGCTGGGTGGTAACTGCAGGGGAACAGGAAGCCTCATGGCTTGTGGAACCACTTGGATACAGGGAGGAATGAGTGGGCAGTGGGTTCCAGGAGCAGCAGTGGGGGAACAGGACATGTGGGGGGACGTGGGAAGGGGCAGCTGATTGTGCTCAGGTCCCACAGGTGCCACCCGGTGCCCCCAAGCCCAGCCATTCACTCATCGTGTCCGAGTTGCCGGCCCCCGCCGTGCGCACGGCCCAGCTCTCACCCATCAACGAAGGTGAGGTGGGGCACGGCTGGGGCTGCACTGGGGCCGTGCCCGTGCTGGGCACGTGATGTTCCCGCCAGCCCATGAGCCCTGAACCCCACCAGCTGCCCCTGTCCCCAGCAGAAGCCAAGCCCCAGGTGCTGGGCCGGTTCCACGTTATACCGACCAAGGACCTGCCTGCGCCCTCCCCTGTGCAAAACGGGAGCAGCAGCGAGGGAGAACAGCAAGTGGGGCCAGTGAGTGGCTCCCCGCCTCCCACGGTCCCCGACACGGGCCACAGCTCAAGCAACGACTCGGATGCAGTGCTGGAGGCAGCGGAGCAGGAAGCCAAGGCTGAGGAGGTGCTGGCCAAGGAGGGCACGATGCCAGTGGCACCGCTGGAGAGCGACCAGGAAGGCCCTGGGGAGGAGGGCACAGACAGCACCCCCCAGGCCGTGCTGAGCCAGGTGTGGCTGAGCTACCCCCGCAGCCTGACCTACGTGAGCAGCGATGACACCGAGAGCGAGGACGAGGAGATCTGGGAGGAGCTGCAGAACCTGCGCCAGAAGTGAGCAGGAGGGTGGGCTGCACCCAAGAGGTGATGTGGGGCCTGCAGAAGGGGACAGGTCTTTCCACCCACCCCAGGTGGGAGGGCGATGCTCCTTCCCCAAGGCTCTGCTGCCACACCCCATGTCCTCCGCAGGCACCTGGCCGAGGTGCAGCTGCTGCAGAGCGCCCAGAAGAAGGAAATTGAGGAGCTGTACCTGAGGATGGGGAAGCAGCCACCACTGGGCATCGTCTCTCCTGCCGCGATGCTGTCCAGCCGCCAGCGCCGCCTCTCCAAGGGCAGCTTCAACCCCTCCCGCCGCAACAGCCTGCAGCGCCTGGAGTTGGCACAGCCCGCAGGTGACAGCCCCGCTCCCGCTCCCCTCAGAGCCCTGAGCTGGGCAGGGTCTGTGGGATCCCTCCGGGCTGGGTGTTGCAGGGCCGCTGCCCCTGCTCAGGGCCGCTGTCCCCGCAGGCATCATGCGCCGTAACTCGCTGAGCGGCAGCAGCACGGGCTCGCAGGAGCAGCGGCTCAGCAAGGGGGTGACCTTCGCCGACGACCTCGGCCGCATGGTAAGGGTAGGGGTGAGGGTTAGGGTGAGGGGTGGGGGCTGATCCTGGCATGCTCCCAGCTCATGGCCACCTCTCTCCACAGTAGCCAGCTGGCCAGCAGTGACTCCATGAACTACCTCATCCAAGTGCCTGTGGCCCCAGGGCAGAGCCCCTGCACCCCCTGGAGGGCAGTGCCGGCCCCGGGCAACCCAGACCTGTGGTGGGGACCTTGCGGGCTCCGCAGGGGCAGTGCAGCTGGCCGGGGGCAAGTCTGTCCCACCTCCAACCCTGTGTCCCCAGGGCCCTCCCCGCTGTCCCCAGCCCCTTTGCTGGAGGACATGTGCCAGGTGTCCCCACCTCTTGTGGCTTCACTGAGCTGAGCCCACCCCGGAGCCCCTGCTCGCCCCAGCCCTGCACCCACTGATCTCCATCCCCCTTCCCACACGGGCCTGAGCCCCCCACCCGCCCTACGGGGTGGGATGAGCTCCCCATGGCCCTGTCACAGGATGGAGCTGGAGCACCAGGAGCCGCAGGATCCAGGAGAAGTTTGTTAAGAACTGGTGTGCAGAAGACATTTTCATAAACACGGATTGAATACGAATGGAGTGTGTGTGTGTGTCTACTGGGCAGGACCTGTGGCTGCTGGCCTCGCTGTGCCACAATAAAGAGCAGAACAGAAAATCCTGCCCCAGCAGCCCCTGAAGGGGTGAGATCCTGAGCCCGGCTCTGCCCAGCAGCTGCTCCACGGGCACTGACACGGTCTCCAGTCAGAGGGTTTATTGTAAGGAGTGGTGGGACCTGGGCACCCCTGTCCTTCCCATGGGCACGGTGCCGGCAAAGGCCTCGGGGTGGGGGCTGCCCGTGGGGAGCCCCCGGGACCTTCCCCAGGCTCGCGCTGAGCATGGGGCAGGCCCGAACCCCCGGGGGTGGCTGCCCCGGGCTCGAGGCCCGTCCAGCCCCGCGGGGGCGGCAGCTCAGTCACGGGCCGGACCGGGCCGGGCGTTCCGCGCTCAACTCGCCGCGCCTTCGGCCCGCGCCCGGGCCCGCGCCCGCGCCGCCTCCGCCTCCTGCTCCAGCTCGTCCAGGAACCGCTCCTGAGACACCGAGTAGAAGGTGTACCCGTCTGCGGGAGGGGTTAAGGAAAAGCAGCGGGCGTGGCCCCGGCACTCCCTGGCCCCGCCCCGCTCCAGCCCCGGAGGATACAGATGCCAAGCGTCACCGCGGCGATGCCGAGCGCCAGCAGAGTGTTGCGGCCGCGGAGCCGGCGCCGCAGGACGCGCTGCCGCTGGGCGTACTCCACCTGCGCCATAAGGCGGCGTTGCTCGGGGCTGAGCCCCGGCTCCCGGGCCGGGTCGATGCGCTTCGCGAACGCCGCCACCGCGCCCGGTTCCTCCGGCGCCGCCATCTTCCCCCGCAGCCTCCGCGCGGCGCAGTGACGTTACATCCGGCGGCAGGCGCTGACCAATCCGAGGGCGCGGGCGGTGCGCGGCGTCGAGTGGTTGGCTGAGGCCTGGCGCGTGCCGGCCGCGGTGCTCGCTGATTGAAGGAGCGGGGTCACGAGACCCGGAGAGCGCCGGGCTGAATCTGCAGCAACCGGACCCATCGCCTGAACCTGCCCCTGCCCCTGCCCTAACACAGCCTCGCCGAGGGGCCGTGCCCTCCCAGTCGTGTCTCTGGGCACCTGGAGGGGCTGGTGGGGCCCTGCCCTGTCCCTGTGGGGCTGGTGGAACCATTGTTGTCATTATGGCTTCGACCCCAACCTGCTAAATTAAATGGGGTCCCCGGTGCCCGTGGAACCCTGGGGCCGTGACCCAGGCCCCGTGTTCAGCGGGGTCACTCCTGAAATCATCGAGGACACGCTGATCCACTTGGCCACAGAGAACGAGCAGTACCTGAGTGAGCTGCCGGAGCACGCCGGGAGCTTCAAGGACACGCGGATCGTGGGTGAGACTGACTTGGCTACAGCAGCCCCTGGGGCAGGGCACAGCTGTACAGTGAGCTTCAGGAGACTGAACCAGTGACTGCTGTGCTCTTTGCAGAATTTATATTCCTTTTGTCTGAAAAATGGCGCTTGGACCAATCGACGAGGTACCAAGCAGTGGAGTTACTTGAAAGGTAACAAGAGCCCGGAACACTTAGTTTGTTTCCTGTTCTCTGGCTGCGCTGCCCATGCTCGGTCCTGCCCTGTCCTGCTCTGTCCCCTCACCCAAACCACACACTACTTCTCTGTGTGTCGAGTGCTCTGTCTCTTCATCCATTTAATCCAAATTACCAGCTCTGTGTATACTCTGAATATATGTAGAATTGCCTTTCTTCCTTCCTCAGCAAAGAGAACTGTGCTCTGAGCAACTGTGAGTTTTGCAGGTTTATGATCAAGCAGGTAGAACAGCTGTGGGAGTCCTCCAGTGGGAGTGTTAAAGGTGGTGCCCAAGGACAAGGGAGCAGCTGGAGCTCTGTGAGGGATCAGATAGTCGACACCTTTGTCCTGCGACTCGTGTCGTGCATTCAGCTCGCGAGCAAACTCTCCCTGCACTATAGTGTAAGCCAGCTCGGCCTGTCCTTGCCTTAGCAGTGGGGTTCAATCTGCAGTGTGTTCACCTCTCTTAAAAATAGATTTCCTCTCTGAAAGGGAATAGTGATAATGAAATGCAAAAGACATGACATTCCCTTCAGGGCAGGCAAATTGCCACTTGTCCCGTGACGATTTGCGGGGAAATGTTCTCCCAGTGCTGGGGAAAAAAGGGCAGGAAACGCTTAGCCTGTGGTTGTCAAAAATTGTGTGGCCACAGGGGTTCACACCTGCCTGGGGATGGTTTATGGAGTTGAGGAAAACTCTGGGAAAGGTCCAAGCTGGGTTTCTCATGCCAGCTCAAAGGGCAGGCAGGTGAGTCGCAGCCTCGTGCTCAGCGGGAGGAGGGAGGTGAGGGAGCACTTTGTTCCTACCAAGGGCCTTATTGCCTGGAAGATGTCTTTTCTCTTTTTTCCTCTTCAGAGAGTGACCAGTGACACAGCTTTAAAATTTCTGCAATCCTTAAAATACTCTTACACTAAACAGGAGTTGCTGGAGTCAGAGCTTGCTGTTTTAAACACTCTGCACTTCCACATCAACGTGTCCACTCCGTTGGCCTACGTGGAATTGCTTCTGGAGGTTCTAGGTGAGAATATCAATCAAAGAGAATGGGAAGGAAGTTTTTTAAAAGGGTAATAGAGCTGGTGCTGATCTGAACTGAAACATCTCATATTAGAGATTTTTGCACATGGAACTGTTCAGATTGTCCAGGGCTTCACTTTTCAGATGAGAACTTTGTCCTTTGTAGAGCATGAAGAATGTTGCTGGACAGCCAGTTTAAACCCCCCAAACCTGGTGTAAGGCTGCATTTTCTACACTCACCATTTTCTTGGCCCAGGTGTGACAACCTGAATGTGAGAGTGAGTGAAATTATACTGAGGCTGAGGGAGCATGTGGCATTCAGAGACAGGGCAGTTTTCCTCAGAAACCTCCATCCCTCCCTTACAGTACCTGACATTTTTAATTTATTGACCCAAAATGTTGGGCTGATGGTGTGATCTCTGCCAGGACACAATGGGTGCTTGCTTCCTGCTAAACCCTTGCACCACATGTGTGTGCAGCTGCTGGACTTCTGCTACCTGTCCAGAGAGACCATCTACGACACTTTGCTGAAGATCGCCATCGAAAACTCCACACCCAGCGAGCTGCAGGTGTAAGAGTCTTACCTGACCATGAATTAAAAACCCTTTGAAATTAAAACCCTAAGAAAAGCTAATGAATAGTAGCATAATTCCCATTATGCCATTTTTGGGGCATCTTTTTAAAAAAATTAATTTTGGGGGGCTTTCAGCACTGTTTCTTAATACAGCAGTTCACAGCAGTTCACAGCAGCGTGCTTCTCCACAGCTGCTTCAGGGGCAAGCAGAGTGTTTTACTTGGTCATGAAAGTCTAGCCATGCACTATCAGTTCCAGCTCCCAGTGTCAGGCCTTGGTTGTGTCCTGGGCCGTGGCAAGTGCAGCAGTGGGTGCTTTTGAGCTGTGAAGCAGCATTTTACACCTGAACACACTTCTCCTTCTGCAGAGCCAAGTTCTTGACAGTGAAGGAAGATTTCATGCTCTTGGCTGTTGGAATCATCAGCACAGGCATGTTCATCCTGAGCCCTGGGCACTGGGAGCAGGTACAGTTGCTGCTGAGCGTGTTGGCTCTATAGGAACACGACGCCAGGGTGGTTTATCTGTTTCAGCACAGCAAGGAGATAGGTGGGGCTCTGCTGGCAGTGGCATGAGGGAGGGAACATCTCAGGGGTTTTAGCAGGAAGTTCCTGGGCCTCAGGAGGCCATGGTGTGGTGCAGCATGTACTGGCACTGGTGTGTGTCCTTGCCTTCAGTGCTTCACAGCCAGGACAAACCCCCACCGGCAGCGTTTTGCTGGCAGGTAGAGAAGCAATCCTGTGGGACAACTGCCTGTGAAATGTGCCCATGGAGCAGTTACTCGTTGGGCTGTAAACTCACGGCCTTTAGGCACCCTATCTTTTCTGTTTTCAGGTTGTGGAGCATTTGAACTGTATCACTGGCATTACTCCACAAAGCATCAAGGAGTTCTCGTACGCGGTGCTGAGGCGCATCCTGGGCAGCGCCGTGCCCAGGCAGCACCATGGGAGCTGTGGGACCAAAGCTCCCAAAGGCAGGATTCTGCCCCTGAAATAGAACCACCTTGTCTGGAACTGTCACACTGCTGAACCCACAGTTCCTCCTCTGTGACACCACCTGGGCTCCCAGCAAAGCTCGGGATTACCTTTGGTCCTGAGCACCAGGGGTTCTGGAACAGCCTGTCAGTCATGTGTGAATTAGCAAAGCTCAGCCTGCCAGGCATCACAATCACGATTTGAAGGGAGGCCCAGCAGCACAGCAGTGTTTAGAAATGCCTCTTTGGGACCCAGAGGTTTATTGTAAGAGGTGCATCTTTTAAGCTGGGTCGAAGTTCCCTTTGACTGAAGAGACCCCTCACAGTAGTCATGTCCGAAAGGTGCTGCTGTGCCTGCTCAGCCATGACCAGGATTGCTGGGAGCAGCTCTGACACCCATGTTACAAACAGTGCTGTGCTGTCTCCACCTGCTGCTTTTCTAAAATCCCTATCTCCAGCTGCCTGCGACTATTTCCCCTCTGCCAGCACTTGGAACACTTTTGCTCTTGCCCTACCACAGCCAGTAACGACCAGCACTGTGACAAGGACAGAATCCTGTCATGACAGCAGATGCCCAGGCAGGTGCCCTGTGAGTGCCAGGGTTTGTGCTGTGCCAGGCAGAGCTGAAGGAAAGCACTCAGAGCAAGGAATAGTTTTAGTGTTTCCTCAGTGCAGCCCTGTGCAGGAATAGGCTGCAGGAGGGATTACAAACTGTTTTAAGTGGCATCAAACCTTGTTTAAGCTCAGTGGTACAAAGAAGTGCTGATGTGACTGGGAAAACTTTACTTCAAACTGTAGTTACTCTTTAATGACCAGGCAGAGTTCTGAGTTTTTCCATGTTATTCCCTGTGTTTGTAACATTGGCCATAAACCCCAAAAGTACCAGTTTAGCATCCATTTAATAGCTGAGTTTATTCTGTTCAACTCAATGATACAACTTTGCATATTGCTTTTCTATAAACTACTTGTAATAATGGCATTTTAAATAAAGTGTCTTGTGGATTTTTGGTATTGTAAACATTTTGTACTGGTTAATATTAAGAAACATCTTAACTTGCCTTTCTCCAACGTTAATGCAGACACCCACAGCTGCCAGGTCAAATTATGACCATGGTTACTTGTTATAGAATTGGGATGAGACCCAGGCAAGGCCCCATTTCAGGTTAGTTAACATGAATTTTAGTGCTTTTGTCCATTGCTCCTCGGAGTTAAATTGTGTTTTAATTGAGTAAGAGCCACCACTGCCACCTGTGTCTTCAATCTTTCCTTTCTCCACGTCCATCCTGTATCACACACAAGGTTTTATTAGTGCATTCCTCCTGCAAACATTTAATCTCAGTATGACATCAAGCACTAAATTTTCAATCTGACATTAATACCATCCCGTAAAAACACTTTGTTTTTAAAGGGAACCTAACAAGCCTCAGGGGGACTGGCTTTAAATTTCAATTAAACTAGTAAGTGCACATGATAAAGAATCCCAGATGAGTCCAGAAAGCCAGGACTGAAACACCAAGCAGTGCTGGGGACAGCACACAGGGGTTAATTTGACAGTTATGTGGCAACACTCACCTGTAAGGCAAACAAAACCGAGTTTCACCTTTTTCCACTTCCTCTTTGAACTGCTGCACACAGTCCAGGAACGCCACCATGGCGTGGTCAAACTTATTGTCCCAGAAGAACCTCAGGCCTCCAGAGCAGTACAAGGGGAGCTCCTGGAAAAGAGGTTTGTATTAGACACCCCAAGCA